TATATATATTATTTATTATATATATATATATATATTATATATATATATATATGTATAAGCACAACAACACATAAACAGTCATACAAATTTGTACACACTCATACACATTTTCCATATGTGCACATAAATGTACAAATACATCAAATGACGTGTAGACTATGCATACGCGCACCTCTCTATATATAAGCTCCGTCAAACAATATACCGTATGGGGCTGATGAGGCACTACTTCCTCTAGTACTATAGCTGGTACAACCTCCAAGGGAACAACAGGTTACAATCAAGTACGTTCTCGTATACACAAGAACGTACACAATTCGTACAAGTAGAATTGTTGTTATGTATGTCATCTAATTGCAAGTTCTTTCATACTCTATATTGATACATAAACTATATACTGATACATACATAGAATTATATATATACACTTACAAAGACATATACTTACAAAGACATATTTATTCGATATGTATACAAATATACTTGATACAATTTATTGCCGACCCATAGATCAGAAGTCTAACAATATGGTTCTTGAACATCCATCACCATCGTCCAGATCCTGGAGACTACGGCGTGAACTGTCACCTCTTATTGGTGTGTTCGTAGCGGATTCTCAGCAGATATTCTGCATGGCCCGCCCTCTGGATAAAGTCTCGAAGAATGACGGCTCCAGGAAGACGCAATTTTTCCACGGAGACTCTATCCAGAGCCTAGAGCAGAGCCTTCTGCTTTCTTAGAAGGCTATGCATATAGGGCTATGTTTTCTGATTAGTGATTTCAACTTTACAAGACTGGTCTAGATGTTCGACAATCGAGGACATATGTACTGCGACTCTCCGAGAAGTTGAAGAATGGTGAACCCAGTGTTTTCTAAGTGCCGGCACTAACGGTTAGACTTAAATTCAAGGAATTGCGAAGGTCTCCGATACTTTCGTGTGAGCTTTCGTACTTTCGTGTCGATTCTTTATTTGTTCTAAGTTGATCGTTTGCTCACTCTAGCAAAGTGAACAGGAGAACGGGCGCGCAAAGACTTCTATATGTTTATAGGTCACAAGTGTCTATCATGTATAACGTGGATTCGGTTGGTGTTGAGATTTTGCGCGCCAAACCCATATCGGTTGGGTCCTGGGTGGCGGGTGCACATGGATTAACTAAACACAGCTATCAATCCAGAGCTGTTCGGTACCACCAGGTTATACAACCCCCCAAGCCAGGCCCAAGCAGAAATGTACAAATGACGGATTCAGAAAACGTGGGCGAACAGAAAGAGGCAGGGGAAGCAGGACGCAGGGTACACCTACATAGGTCAGTCCGCTCTAATCTTACCAGTTGCTACACATGTATTTACACCTACATAGGTCAGTCCACTAGAGTCTTCCCAGTTGCTAAATGGTTCACACACCTACATAGGTTAGTCCGCTAGTCGTTTACCAGGAGCGTATGAATGGTGGGCGTTCTACTCCTAGTTGTCGAAAGTCCCAAGGGTGTGACTGTCCATTATGATGTCATAGGACTGGTTGTCCTGCACCGGGGTACTGTCCGCTACGGCGCTACTATTTACTTTTGTGAAAGGAGAAACGAAAAGACAATTTTAAAGGATGTAATTTCATTGGTCAAGCAATATCAATGACATTATCATGACTCATGAGAGTTCTGTTTTTTTTTTAACTTCTTTGAATATGTATAATAACCCCCTCCTCCCATAGGAGAGGATTATAAATAAATAAATAGAAGTGGATGACCATCACATGATCAAGGCGATTTCATTTATTTCATCCCGATCATATGTAGTCGTCTTCGAGTGGAACACGTATTTATTGAAGTGCTCAACACTCACATCCCCCATTCACGACACCATGGTTTCATTATCCCCGAATAATACCAGCACCAGCAGTCGCTTGGCAACGGCGGAGACCGATGCGATGCTAGACAACGGAGGGTCGAGCAATGGCACCGACGCAGGCGAGCACACAAGCATAGCGCCTGGCCCACAGTTCCGTGCAAAGGACATCCCTTTTGTACTAGTTTCTGTACTGACATTTGCGACTGCATACGCGCTTGTTCCGCTGGCAGAGATACCGCTGACGGTGTTGATTGTATCGTTTGGCATTCAATGGGCTATGTTCATACCTGCGGTGATCTATCAAACCGAGAAGTACTATGACCTCACAGGATCTCTTACATATCTATCGCTGACGCTGTACACCTTCGCGGCTGGCAACCACGACATGCGCTCGGTTCTGGCCACCATCTGCGTATGCATCTGGTGCACCAGGTAAGCGTGTGAATAAACCACCTTTCTAATATTGTCTGTTGAGCTTGATTGCTTGATCATCGCTGTTGCTTGCACCGATTCTCTCCTCCTAAACGGAAAAATCAACATTTAGATTCGTACACATGTATATCCATTCGAACTGTGTCTGAAAAGAATGAAGTCTGGGCTGCTGTATGTGGTTAAAGAATAGTGTCTTGACATCTTTTGGATATGTGTTGACAATGAATAGCACACGTTCTTACACCCGCACACATACACAAACACACGTATAAACGCAAATACATGTGTACTCAAAAAAACCACGTGTACACACCAACACGTGTACACACACACACACGCACACACACACAC